CAGCGGTCCCATGTCGAGATGGAAAACAGAAAGGAGAATTCAGAAGTTCAAAGGCCAGCTAGCCTGCGTGCTCAGTACAGGGGCAAGAAATAAGAGATGCCACCCCGGCTGGTCTACAGGGCGAGTTCCAGGAACACACAGCGAAACCCTGTCTCTAAAACCACAAAGTGGCTGGCATGCATATGCCTGCACTCACACATGGGGCATGTGTATTTCACTGTGGGGAAGCAAAAGGTAACAAATACTAAATGCCAGCGAATCACTCAATAAAGCAAGGCATGTCAGAAATACAAACCTTGGGATAGTTATCTTCATGAACCTGGACCTCTAAAAAGGTTTTTTGGTTGGGTGGTGGTACACCTGGGATGGCACCTGGAAATCCTAGCAACTGGAAGGCAGAGACAGGTGGATCTCTGTGGGTTAGCAGCCAGCCTAGCCTACAGAGCTCCAGGATAGCTAGAGCTACACAGGGAAACCCTGTCTTGAAAAAAATAAATGAAAAAAAGACTTTTAATTTTTGTCTAAGGTAAACAGCGGATATGGATTACTTGAATTTTTTTTTTCCAAAAGGAAAACAGTTGAAAAAAACATACCAACACTAGATTCTCACAGGAAAAGATCTGGACAAATAACTGTGTATATGCTATTTCCAATTGTGTTAAAATAGATGTTACAAATATAAAAAGGTTTATTTTTGTTTTATGCATTGATGTGCAAGTATCTCTGTGTGTCAGATCTTGGAGTTACAGGCAATTGTGAGCTGCCACGTGGGTGCTAGGAATTGAACTTGGGTCCTCTAGAACAGCCAGTTCTCTTAACCACTGATCCGTCTCTCCAGACCACATATGAAATGCTTTTCAAGAGTAAATGTACTTAGCTGGGAGAGGCACACACTTTTAATCCCAGCACTCACAAAGCAGAGGCAGATAAATCTGTAAATTTAAGGCCAGCCTGGTCTACATAGTTCAGGCCAATTTATGCTACAGTTGAGACCCTGACTCAAAATAGTGAAGGAGCAAGTAGAGAACAGATGAAATACTGGGAGAGAAAAAAAAAAGTTTTAGAGACAGGGTCACATTGTGTAGTCCTGACTGACCTTGAACTCACTGGTCTGTCTGCCTCCCAAATCCAGATTAAAATGTTTTGTTTTTTGAGACACCCTTTTCTGGTGTTAACAGTCCTGGCTGTCTTGGAACTCACTGCACTGCTCAATTAAAAAAAAAAAAAAGATTTAACTCTGAGGCATGTTAAGTTAAATAAGCTAAGAAAGAAACTTATTTCTAGGAATAATAATTTAAAATCTAATGCTGCCAAGCAGTGGTGGCGCACACCTTTAATCCCAGCACTCTGGAGGCAGAGGCAGGTGGATCTCTGTGAGTTCGAGGCCAGCCTGGTCTACAAGAGCTAGTTCCAGGACAGGCTCCAAAGCTACAGAGAAACCTTGTCTCGAAACCCCCACACTCCCCCAAAAAGGTAAAAAATTTTTTCCTTCCACCAAATGGTTCCCAGTAACCAGACTGCCAGGCTTGGTGTCAAGTGCCCTAACCTACTTAACTATATTGCTGGCCCAAAGGCTAAACATTTATTATAGCCTAGTTAATAGTTCTGGCAACATGTTCAGCCTATAATTTGAGACTGATTTTACTTATTTACCTCCTAAATATAATCTAGTGTATTTAGAGGTAGTGTCAGGGCTATTTCTGAAAGCAAATTTTGACTCCATCCTGTTGTCTATACTCAAAAAACTGAATGACAAAAAAACCTGAATCTTGTTGGTTTATCAGTAAGATTACAATTATTTTTTTGAGGCAAGGTTTCTGTGTAACACCAGCTGTCCTGGAACTTTTTAGATCTGGCTGTCCTCAAACTCAAGAGATCCACCTGCCTCTGCCTGGTTATATATATTCATACTTATATCCTAACACCAAAGGAGCAGGACAGGTAGTTTACTAGGCAGTTAACACTGGCTGCTCTTGCAGGGCTTAGGTCCAGTTCCCAGGACCAACAAAACTCAAAACCTTCTCTAACTCCAACCCCAGAGTAACCAACACCCTCTTCTGGTCTCTGGAAGTACTGCGGCCATATATGGAGATGAGCAGGCGCACATATACATAAATAAAAATAATTCCAAAAGCTGCCATTCCTCAAGAGTCCCCTAGGGAGACTGAGTCAGCAGCCTGTACAAAGCGGGCACACTTCTGATGCTAACCATGGTCATGCCTGACACACCATAAAAATCAAATGTATCAAGAGGACTCAAACTCTGCCCACCCCCACAGAGCACACTCCCACTTCCTAGTGCCTTCCAGTTCTACTCGTAGATAGCAGTTAAGAAAAACCATCAAGTAAACAGACACCAGCTTTCTGTCCCCTCTGATCAGTAACTGTCAAAAACACTTCCCACCAAAAAAGGTCAACAGAGAAAAGAAACAGACACTTGAATTTATTCAAAGTGATTTTATTGCTCGTGTACACAAGGGAACTTATGCCACTAAAGCAGAGGCTGTGGATGACTCACTGGAAAAAAGAAAACAGAAACTGGGATTAATACTAGATTTTGGGATCCACTCACAACTTTGCTACCAGAGCTATCCCCAAACAGCTCAAATACCTAACTGCATACAACGCATCAACCTGAGGACCCAAACTCCACAGACTTAACAGGAAGATGAATGGCAATGCTCCATCAGACATCTGAGCAAGACTGGTCATGAGGAAATACCTATCCTGGCAGAACTCTGAATGTTTGGATGATCCATAGGGGTGAATAATCCATAGGGGTGGGGGTAGAGGACCATTTCTGAGACAGACCAGAATTTGCCAACTATGATCCTTTTATTGCTTGTGTGACATTTTTTTCTCCCTTTATAAGACAGGATCTCATGCAGACCAGCTTGCCTCTACAGCCAGCTCTAAATTACATTTTGATTAAACATCACCATTTGATTAAATCTATCACCCATACATACTATCCCACTATGACAGGGAAGAGCTGAAGTGGCAATTAACCATAGGACCAGAAAGGCAAAATATGTACCACCAAGTCCCTTATCTACTACCATCGTTATTTTTTATCTGGCTGACTCTTTAACAAAAATGCATATACTTACTATTTCCAGTTGGGTGGGAGTACCCGCTTGGTTTTATAGTAACGAGCCAGTCGGTGAATTCTGCTCTCTATCAGAATCAGGCGGAATTTAGCATCCTTATCCTAAAAATAGGATTTAAAAAAACCACCAAATAAGTAACTCAACACCTTCCAAAGCTAAGTTCTTAAGGCTTTTTAAACAGTCTCTAGTTGTCTTGCAACTTGCTAGACCAGGCTGGCCTTATACTCGAAGAGATCCACTGGCCTTGCTGAGATTATAGGCACACACCACCAAACCCAGAGGCAATTTGAGGATCCAGAATAAGGTCTATAGTAATGGTCACAAAACTACAAAAGCCCCCAACATTTGGAACCAACTGGTTATGTTTAGGGGAGAGAAAAACAAAAAACCAAAACAAACAAACAAAAAAAACCTATCCATTTCAAAGAACCAGAATGTTGATTAGTTAGGGCCTAGAATCACCTGAGAGAATTAAACTCAGATGCATCCTGCCTCCTGAAGACCAGGACAAGCACCGCTACACAATACCAGGTTTGTGTCCTCACTTACCTTTCTGTTCCTCTCAAGATGCTTTCGGACAGCGACTGCCTTTTTAATCAAATGGTAGAGATCCTCAGGAAGATCAGGGGCAAGGCCTTTGGATTTAAGGATTCTCAAGATTTTATTACCAGTTACAAAACGGACCTGGGCCACACCGTGAGAGTCCCTCAGGATCACACCTGAAGAAAGCAAATAATTTCTAGCACAAACTTGAGCATGTAATAAAGCCCTGATAGCAAGGCCCTTCAAATTTCCTGCAAGTAGCCAACCTAACAGCTCACTCAGACATCCAAGGAAGGTCTACCCAACACGGAAGAAGCCCTTCTGGTGGAAACCGCGAATGTTGGAACACCATCATCACAGTGAGGCTGCTAGAATACAGCTGACCAAAGAAATCTCCGCCTTTATATCTTGCCCTAACTAAAACCGCCTTAACGTTTATTTATACCCATTTTGAAAACTGCACGTTATTTCTTTTAAACCTTAAATTACTTCTGATTAGCTGAGTCTCTCTCAAATTCTTTTTACTCCATATCTGTAGTATACTCAAGCCTTAGCGAGCATATTTTCCTATAATCAGTTATCCTACACCCCGGAACCACATTAACAGAAATAAACTATCTGCCGTTTGTACAAAGTCCCAGTCAATTCACAGCTAGATGTGACTCGATCCCAGATGCTCCCCGTTTAGCTGTGGAAGCAGGGAAAAGCGTGTCCGACGCATGGATTAGACACGTTTGTCTTTCCAGATCACACGAGAGCAGAAGTTAGAGACGACACCAACACTCACCTATTTGGGAGGGAGTGAGGCCTTTCTTGGCCAGTTTGTAAATCTGTTCCTTCACGTCGTCAGACGTCAGCTTCAGCCACTGTACGTGGAACAGAAATCGGCCTCAGCGTAAGAAGCACGACAGTAATCTTCCCCTCGGGCCTCAGATCCCTTCCCCGCCCCATGTTGCCCCCCAACCCGCCGCCTCTACTCACCGTGGGGACGCTACGGCGGTAGGGCAGCGCCGACTGGGACAGGCCCTTCCTGAGAAAAAGTACAGGGTGTGAAATGGCGGCCCGATGCTCAAAAGCCCCGCGGTCTCCCCACCTGCAGCCCGCATCCTCCTCCTCCTCTCACTGCCCCGCGCCCGAGCGCCCCAGCTCAAGCCCTACAACCCAGTTTGGCGCCGTGGCTCACCCGGGAGCGTGCATGCGACCCATGATGGCGGAGGTCTGGCAGCAAAGAGAGAACGAGGGAGGAAACTCCGCAGGAAGCCAAGATACGCAGGAAGTGACGCCACACGCACACGCTTCATCCAACGCGGGGCGGGGCTATACGTCGCGGCCACGGGCGCCCGGAGACTACGCGTCCCAGAAGGCATTGCGGCGAGACGTCACGCCTCAGTTTTTGTTGAGTTTGCTTCCCGCCGAACCTCTGCCTCTGGCCAGACTCAGAGGCAGATCCGGAAGTCAGCCTAACCCCTAATTGGAGGCTGTTTCTGAGAACCTAGGGTGGGTTTGAGCCCCGGGCTGGAGGACTTGGGTAAGCTGCAGGGTCAGCGGTTCGTCAGGGCTCGCTTAACAGCCCCAGACTCGAGCGGTGCGGCGTGAGCGTGCATCGAAGAGACCGCCGTGCCTATGCCTCCGCGCAGCCGGCGCCTCCCTTCTCTCCAGAGCGTTAACCCTAGGCTAGGCAGAGCCTGGCCCTGTCCTTCGCTGTCTGCACGGGAGCGCAGAGCCGCGAACCCGACTGAGAAGAGCTGGGGACCAGGAAAGCAGTTTGGAGAAGATGAGGGGGAAAGGGCATCCCTAGGGAATTTAGCTTTTAAGGATGACCTAGTGCCGGTCCACTATTAATGCCTTCCAAGAATGGGTGAATGGAACAACTTGTTAAAATGCAACGGAAAATAAAAAGCAAGGGTTTGGGAAGGAGGAAACTCAAATCTACAAGATCCTGTTGACAAGTGACGGGCGAGAAGTTTAAAACAACATAGTACTGAAACATTGCTGCCTTTTTTCGTGTTTTCCTTTCTTTTTTTTTTTTTTTGTTTGTTTGTTTGTTTCCACGGATACCCCATCCTATCCATCGTTTCTCAGGTGGTTTAAATGGTACCCCATTCTTTATACAATCCATTGTCCACCTAGTGGTCAAATAAATGCATTGCTCCTGTGTAAATACCTCTAATTTTTTTTTTAAAGTGGTGGTGAGGTGGCAGGAGAGATGGCTCAGGGATTAAGAGCATTGGCTGCTCTTCCAGTGGTTCTGTGTTCAACTCCCAACAACCACATGGTGGCTCACAACCTTCTATAATAGTATGATGCCCTCTTCTGGCATGCAAGTATATTTGCATAAAATATAAAGTTTTTAAGAAAATGTTGAGTATGGGGAATATAAGAGGACAACATTATGGAGTCTGTTCAATATTTTCACCTTCACTTGGCTTTGGATATCAAAACTAAGCTTGTCAGTGTATAGCAAGCCATCCCAGGGGTCCTTTATACACTTTCTCAGTGCATCCGAAATATGCATTGAGATGGCCTCATGTCCTCCCGCTTTGCCATTATTGCTAAACATTCCAGGCACATTTCTGATCCTATACATAGCGACATGTTGTCTACCTGAAAAAAAATTATATTTTTAAATGTGTGTGTGTATGTATATATATTTGATGTGGGAGTCTCTCTGTATGCTATGAATATGTTTTATTGCCATTGGCTAATAAAGAAGCTGCTTTGACCTATGGCAGGGCAGAATATAGCAAGGCAGGAAATCAAACAGAGATAGAGGAGGAAAGAAGGTGGAGTCAGGAGGCGCTGTGTAGCTGCCAAAGGAGGATGACACTGGAATCTTACCAGTAAACCATGAGCCTCGTGGTAAAAGATAAAATAATAGAAATGGGTTAATTAAGATGTAAGAGCTAGCTAGCTAGAAATACTCCTGAGTCATTGGTCAAGCAGTATTGGAATTAATACATAGTTTCTGTGTGATTATTCGGGTCTGGGCAGCCAGGAAACAAACGAACAGTCTACACTTAAATGAATTCATGTCTTTGTACCGCAGTACCTGCAGTGCCCATGGAGGCCAGAAGAGGATATCAGATCCTTTGGACCTAGAGTCACAGAATTCTTAGCTCCCAGGTGGGTGCTTGAAACTGAACCCAAGTTCTCTGTGAGAGCAATAAGCTCTTAACCTCAGTGATCTCTCCAGCCTCCAGGACTTTTTAAAGATTATTACACGAGTATATGGCTGTGCATGTTGAGTACAGAGGCCACAGAGGCCAGGACACTGGATCCCTAGGAGCTAGAGTAATAAGCAGTTGTGCCTTTGTACTGGGAACCAAACTCTAGTCCTTGACAACAGCAGGAAGCCATTGTAACCACTGTGTCATCTCCAGCCCCCTACCTACAATACTATTTGTACGCCAGCACCTCCAAACAGCCTGGCAGGAAGTTAGGCAGGCACTTATTTATTCAAAGAATAAACCTACATAAGTCAGTTTTCATAGGCATCATGAATATTTATTGGGCTTTAATTGTCCTTTCAGGGTGTTTAGATTCCTTTTCACGGTATAGAGACCCAGTCTCATGCCCATACCCAGGAGTAAAGGTACGGTGTTAGAAATTGCATTGAATGTGGTTATTGCTCTATTACTATTTAAGTGAACTATCAGAGACCAGGAACCACATCTACAGAAGAATTCATATCTCAGGAATAATGATGGGCTGTAGAAAAATGATATCCAAACCTTCCAAGAATCACACTTAGCAATTCAAACTCTCTTTTTAGACATTTTAGGGAAGTCTGACAGATCTGAAATCCAGGATTACTAAACTTTATAAACTCCTGGGTGAGATACAAAGAACACTGTTAATAAAAGTTTGAAATCAAAACATTAAAACAAGAAAGAAAAGACAGATTGAGTTCTTTATTTCAGAAATATTTTAATATAATTGTAGTATAGTTATGAAGTCACATTCAAGACACTGAATATATTCCAAGTATTAATAAAAATATTATACATCTTCACTCACTATGCTGATATAATTAAAGCATTTGGTTCTTATAAATGACACCAGTAATCACATCCACATTTGCACTGCTAGTAAACAGCATGTAAGTAAATGTGTATTTTAATAGCAGAGCTTCAGTGTTTTTTTTTTAAATTATCAAAAGTGAATTTTTTAAATGACACAATTCATGAATCCTAGAAAGAATTAAAACAGCTTAAGGCAACATTTTTGAAGTTTTTATACACTTTAATTTGAAAAAAAAAGAATATGTAAAAAAGACACATGCTTTAACAACTCGATTCATATAACACAGCACTAAAAAGCATTGGTGCCAGTTCTCAGTGGATTCCTAAGAGACAACAGGTTCTTGGAATGAACCATCATCTTCAGATCCTAGAGCACTGCCAAGAACAAAGAATTCTGGCACAGGACTTCTATGTAGCAGAATTATTTTTACTTGACAAAGGTAGTTATAAATGATTATACATAAAAGTTAGTGTCTTGGCCAGTTTAGAGTTTTGTTTTCAGATGTATTTTAAGGTCAGTGTTAAAAAGCTTGCAGAGAGCGAGCTGATTTATAATTGGCTGCAGTGGTGCAAAGAGGCTGCTCTCTCCTCCGTATCGCTATTTTTGGTATGGGCTGAAGATTAGCATTTTACAAAGAAATAACTTATATTAGAATACGTGTTTTAATGACCAAAGGAGGCACAATTTGAGTTAAATTAAGAAAAATATTATCTTTTCTTCTGAATTCTTAACTATACAATATTAATCATAATATATACTTTTAGATATGAATCAGATTTCTTGTCACTGGGAAGTGACATTACCTTTCCAAGTTCTATTATTGTGCTAAGATGTGCTATAACAGATCACAAAAGTCCACGCTGAGTTCCATCAAAGGCAACCTTTCAAAAAGAACATCTTTTTAAAGAAGTAGATAGGTGACTCATGGAATGGAATTAGGTCTCTCTCAAAAGAAAAAACAATTCTAATGCTACTTACATTTACAAAACAATTTAAGGAAATATTAATTGTGGAAAAAGTAGACAACGGTGCTTTGATCTTCATTTTAATTTATCAAGTAGACAACACATTTTAATATAAAAAATTCATATACTATACTCAGATTTCCCTAAAAGTGGACCATAGTGTTAGGCACCAAAAATTTCAAGTTTTGATTTCTTTAAAAATCTATTCCAACGATAACACCCTTGACTTATTTAGCTCTGTAAGCATCATCATTTTTGCTAATCACTTTGTACACTTTATAAAAATTTCATTCAACAAACTGAATCAGACTGTCCTCTCTTGGTATTACCCTTCACTAAGTAGTTTGTCAGTTTTCTCATGACTACCAGACTTGCTACATCTCTATTACCGCTGTAAAAATATTTGAAATTCTATTCTAACCATGAAGTCTGTTATATTTACATGTTTACTAAAACTAAACAAAGTTATGTCTGAAAGGAGAAATAAAAATGAATCTTATTTTAATGGTTACACCATAGTAAGTTCAAACTCCTCCCTTGTAATTCTGAATTTCCTTGTATTACAGAAAATAATTATTTTATGTGAATGTACAATGTTTACAAATACAGGACAGTTTACACAACACCTTCCATAAAAGTTTATATTAAAATTCAGTCTGGATCCTACAGTTCTTTTCCCGGGCCTCTTACCAAACAAAAATGGGCACAAGGCCAAACAATTTCCATTTGTTTAATGAGGGAGTAAAGTATAAATACATAGAAGTGAAACTTCAATTTCAGTTCACACCCCTACATATAAACACAGGATTATAATGGAATGATAGAATTTAAAATGCAACTACATCAATGAATCAGTTACTGGGCAACAAACATTAAATCAAATAGCTTAATAGTTAAAATAACTAAGTCACAATCAGAAGTAGAGAAAACAGTATTTTTGTGGGAAAATTATTAGTAAATGTACCTGATATTTTGTCCTCATTCAGGTGACAATGAATGGAAACTACTTACTCTTTAATCAGAATGAAGTGCCAACGAAGCATATCAAGTTAAGTAAGGCACCATTATTTACAACTCCAGGGATTGGCACTTAACTCTGAAAAGGCTTTAACAATGAATAAAAATAGTATTTTTTCCTCTACTTCTATAACTACTTAGTAGTTCTTAGCATTCTGCCTACTATTTGTGCTTTGCTTTTCAGCCTGTTGAGTAGCAGCTGCATCTTTCCTTTCCTTTGGTGTCTGTGAACATACACAGTGGTAAAGGCTGTGAGGTGCATAACAGGAAAACCAACTTGCTGTGTCTGTGTAGAAAGAATGCAGACAAGGTGGCCGAAATGATACAGTATTATTTCAAAGTCTTTTTCAGGACTTACTATATACGATATATTAAGTTTGGGATTGGTAGCATTTAACAGAATGATTTTGAAACAGCAATGGCTTCCCCAAATCTTTAAGTTAGTTATGTGACAGTTGGTCCAACAGATGTGTTGAAACACTGCAAGTATATTTAAGTTTATAATTTCTGCCCACGTATAAAAATATACAAAGTTCCCAAGTGTGTGTTTGTGTGTACACACATGTGCATATGTTTATAACTCCTTGCTTCCAAAGCTCAGAAATCCACGGTTTATAAGTATGTGGCCGCAGTCAGCTGGTACCACTTAACTGTCTCTTTGCTCAAGTTGAAATCTTTCAACGGCAGGGTAATTCCACCCAAGAAGAAATTCTCCCGCAGAGATTCTGCACTGAGTACACTCAGTTGAAGTTCTTTTTGTCTCAAGGTTTCTTTGCTGTATCCATTATACACAAGCTAGAGGGGGAAAAATGATAAGATTTGGTTTCTTAGAATATCTTCAGTAAAATATGAAGGTATCAGTCAAAGAGTGATACAATGAATGGCAGTGAATATAGAAGCGGGGCTTGTCTCAATGTATCAGGAGTAAGTTTTAATTTCTGGAATACTGGATTGAACTATCATTTCTGTCAGTGTTTAACAAAGACTGTAGAAAGCAGGACCAATCAAAACAAAACAACCCCCAAATCCTCAGATATGGGCTCTGAGAGATGGAAGTGATGGGGCAGGGAAAAGAGATTACCTGGTGATTACCTTAAGATGATTTAATAGCTGGAGAAAAAGAGGATGAAAGGAAAGCAAGTTGGAAAATATAATTTTAAAATTATTTTGCAAAATCAGATTGAAATTTCATTGTTCTGTCAAATCCAGGAAGTGGTAACTCTTTATTCACAAGGAGATACAAACCCACAGGGAATGTAGTCTGCAGCAGATCTGCAGTGCTCAAAGCTATTGCTATTTCAAATCCTCATTGCAGCACTTAAAATGTTTATTTTTCCACAAAACTTCACAGTAAGTTCTGAAAAATGTTTCTTTAACTTAGACCTTGTCAGGGTTTGACTAAAACAACCACAAGAACACTTGCTTGTATGTCTTTGTCTTGACAGTACAGGACCACTAAAAACCCCACTGTTGTTTTATAAGACTAACACCAAGTGGTCTTTGGTAAGCGCAGCATGTGTTTTTAAAGAGTGGCTGACCCTCTAGAGGGCTCTGTGTGCGTATGTATTTGAGACAGGGTCTCTGTATCTACATGGCCCAGGTTGACTTAAATTTGCTATGTAACCCAGGCTAACCTTAAATTCACATTATAATCTTCCTGCCTCGACTCTTAAGTGCTACAAGTACAGGAATGTACCAGTCCACCTGACATTTTTCTCTTTAAATTTTATTTATTACCTTATTTTTTTTTTAAAGAAAAATTCACATGTATGTCATACATGTGTGGGTGCCTGAGGAAGTCAGAAGATGATGTCAGATTCTGTGAAACTGGAGTTATAGGCAATTTTAAGTCCCCTGGTGTAGTTGCTGGGGACTGAACTCCAGTCCTCTGAAAGAACAAGTCCTCTTAAGTGCTGAGCCATTTCTCTAGCCCCATGCCTGACTTTTCTACAGGTCTTGATACATTTATAATCTTGATAAAAAAGTTGTCAAGTTGGGTGTGGTGGTATATGCTTTTAATCCCAAGACTCAGGAGACAGAGGTAGGTGGATCTCTGTGAGATCAAGGCCAGCTTGGTCTACTTAGCTAAATTCCAGGACAGAGTAGTGAGACCCTGTCTCAAAATCAAAAACAAAACAAAACAAAACAAAAAAAAAATTCAAGTTGTCTTCCAATCTCTATCCAGACATTTTTTGTGTGAATTAAATGCTAAGGTCCATAAATAATGTGTCTATACTCTGCCTCCCAAAATAGTTAAGCAAGGCAGCAAAGTGAGAGAACTCTAAGAACTTTTAGGAAATGAAGTTTAGCTTACTACTTCATTGAATGTTGGGTTCCTAGTTTTATGTGAAATTTTGGTTTTACATTTTGATGTTTTGTGGGTATCTGGAAGTAGGTTTTAACTGGTTACTGATGGATTGTGGATCTGCTAGTTGCCTTGAGTATCTCAGTCACAGTTATTGTTTTTATTTTTATTTTTGGTTTTTTTTGAGACAGGTTTCTCTGTAGCTTTGGAGCCTGTTCTAGAACTAGCTCTTGTAGACCAGGCTGGCCTCGAACTCACAGAGATCCATCTGCCTCTGCCTCCCGAGTTCTGGGATTAAAGGCTTGTGCCACCACTGTCCAGCTCTCAGTCACAGTTATACTCTCTACTGTTCAGCTGACACTTCATTTTTGTAAGAGGATACTAAGAGAATAAAACATGCGGGGAAGGTTAGAAAGATGGCTCAGCAATTAAAAGCACTGATGCTTTCTCTTGCAGTGGACCTGAGTTCAATTCCCAGCACCTACATGGCAGCTTACAACTTCCTGTAACTCTGGACACTGTGTGTACAAGGCTCACATCCAATGCACTTACATACACGACAGCAAATCAATATATACACATAAAATAAAATAAATAAATTTTAAATAAAAACGTTGAAATCTCAAAACAAAACTCTAGGAAATTTTGAGAAATGAAGTTTAGCTTACCATTTCATTGAATGTTGGGTTCCTAGTTTTACGTGAAGTTTTGGTTTTACGTTTCGATGTTTTGTGGGTATCTGGAAGTAGGTATGTCTTGACATATGGATTTGGGTCAGTCCCATCTTCAGTAACCTATAAAGAAAAGCAGTCTCTTAACAGTAATGCTTCCCACCAGGGTACAGATTTGCTCAGCAGTCATCATTTGTAACCACTCACAAGATCTTTGATGTGCATCACCATGATGAAGAGGGTGCCATTTCGGTAAGACACAGATAACTTCACTGCTCCTCCTATTTGGCCCAGAGTAGGGCTGAAGGGACCTGCACCTGAAAACAGAAATACTTTCCTCTTTATCTCAACGTGCCTGCAAAGGTCCACACTGCAACAAAAGAACTGCTGCACCAGGGCAGGGTGAGGGGAAGTGGACGGGAAAAGAAAACCTCATTTGCCACTAATTTGTACTTTTTTTTGTAATCACAAGCTAATTATTAGGAATGCTAAGTTTTTCTAGAACTTAGAAAGACTAACCTACTGAGAGAGAGGAAGGGAAGGGAGGAGACAGACAGAGAATTTATTGCTCTTACAAAGAACCTGGGTTAGATTCCCAGTATCCACAGAGTGCTTACAACCACCCACAACTCTAGTTCCAGGGGATCCAATTCGTTCTTCTGACCTCTACAGCATGTACATGGTATACATATATACATTCAGGCAAAATACTCAGGTACATAAAGTAAATCTCAAAAGAAAAAAATCCAAGACACCTGAAGACACCCCAAACGGATTTCTAGCCTCCACATACATGCATGTGTGCTAACACACATCGACCCCCACCTATCACAAAAGTCATGAGTTATCAACCAATGAGAAAAAGCATACTCTCACCTGCAGACCTAGCTATTCCTTCAGCTTTCTCATCACGAAGTAAGGGGTGGAAAAAAGTACAAACAAGATCACACTAAGATAAAAGAGAAAAAAGTTCATTAGTTAAATATTACATGACACAAAGGTAGACTGTGTTATTTACTTATATTGGAAAGTCACCTCTGCTACATCTGTTGATGCATTCATCAAATTCTGTAAATAACTGTTTAATTCAATTTTCCTTTTGGCTGCTACATCTTTTATGTGTGTTCTTCCCAGAACCATCCTATTAGGGAAGCTACAAAAGATAAAGAAAAACAGATTTAAATTATTTTATCAGAAAATATTTGTAGAGTATCATGCACAATATTTACCTAGAAATATATTTTTAAGACACAAAAGTGTGGTTTTAACCTATTATGTTTTTGCCTGAGTGATTCAAAACACTAGGACAAACTATTCAATTATTCATTTTCTTCATTTAAGTCTTGGCATCAAAATGCATGTGTTAGTTGGGCATGGTGGCACATGTCTGTAATGTCAGTACCACTTGGGAGATAGAGATGGGTAGATCAGGAGCTGAAGGACAGTCTGAACTACATAGCAAATTGCAGGCAAAAAAAAAAAAAAAAAGAAGACCCTATCTCAACAACCCCCTCCCCGGGAGAAAAGAGGAAAGAAAAATTACGCATGCCTTACTAGTTTCCTGTATTTGTTACTAATTTTCTGTTATTTGGTTTCAACTTTAATCATTCACAAATATTTACCTGATCTTGTCTCTAAAAGAATCATTACTCAATAATCATAAAGATACACAAACAATGACATAGAACCTAAATCAGGTGCCCAACCCATTATCTTAATTCTTACTTTGGTGATGATAAGAAAATGAGAGTACACACAGTAACAAACTCTTATTGTCTGAGACAAGGTCTATGTATCCCCGGCTGGCCTTTTACTCAGAGATTCATATCCAACAGTAACATACTTTGATACCCATCTTGTCTCCATGTTTTTGAAATCTTGTATGACAAGAATATGGCAAAGGAAAGCTTTAAACTACAGTAAATCTGAGGTTTTACAAAAGAAGTCAGATAAAAAGCTAAGCACTAGGGGCAAAAGAGACGGCTCAGCAGCTAAGAGCATGTACTGTTCTTGCAGAGAACCTGAGTTCAGTTACCAGCACCCACATTGGTCAGCTTACAATGGCCACTGTAACTCCAGCTCTATGGGATCAAAGCCTCTGCAGGCACCAGCACAGTAAACATACACAACACACATATACAATTTAAAATGAAAAATTATCTTTAAAAAAAAGCTAAGCATTAAGATTAAAACATCTGTGAGGCAGTGCCCTTAATCTTAGCACTTGGGAGGCAGAGGCAGGTAAATCTCTGCGTTCAAGGCCAGCCTGGTCTACACAGTGACCAGGACAGCCAAGACTGTACACACAGAGAAACCCTGTCCTGAAATTACATCTAAGAATTTCAGTGGTAACTGGCAAGGGGTCAGCATTATGTCATGGCACATGTTGAGGTCTGAGTTGTCAGGTTTGGAAGAAAGAGCCTTTACCAGCTAAGCCACAACATCTGACTCAGGTTTACTATTTATCACAGGAGATCAGTATGGCTCATATGGATGATTTATGCAGCATGTGACATTTATGCAGCATGTGACATTTTAAAACCAAGATTCCATTATCTTAGTTGATACATACAACCAAGGTGACAAAACTGGCGTCTTCAAAGCTCACATCTTGTTTGTTGTTTTGGTTTTTAAGACAATGGGTACATACTTAAAATAGTCCTCTGAAACCAGACCCACCCAAAACTTGCAGTGTCCTCTTCCCTCTGCCTCCAGTGTACATGTGCCACCAGGCCTAGCTTTAAGATTTTAGTCATATGTTCATTCAACACAAAATTCAAGCTCCTTATCTATGTTCAGTACTGTACGAGGTACTTATTATTTTAACTGTAACTGAGTGTTAGCCAAGTTTTCCACTTGCATGTAAAAATAGTTTCTACATAGGAAAATAAGAATGAATTTTTGCCAGGATAGGAACATACCCAGGTAACTTCCAAAGTGGAAAAATAATGCTGAGCTTATTGTGCAGTTCCTGAAACTCATCAAATGTCCGGAATACAAACGATGGTTCAAGGTGTCCTTCTCTCAGAATTCGGACTACATAAATCTGGAAGGAAATCAATGACAGGCACATTACATTATAATAAAATTTCTTTCCTGACACAAAACTTTTAGTACAAGTAAGTGCTTTTACCCTTGGGAATATAAGTCACTAACAGGAAACAGGGTTGTGTATAGAGTTTATTGTATTTATATAGCACACACTGCATTCTGAGGCTGAACTTAACTACTGGAAGATTCAAATAAGAACTTGGAAGTGAGCACTTTGTTTCCATGCTTAAATATAATGTACTTCTCAAACATATACACTTAGTGCATTTCCAACAAAAAGGAAAAAGGTTCTTTAAAGAAAGTATTGAATACGGCTGCAAGAAGAGTCAGGTACATCCATAGAAAGCCTGAGGCACGTGTGTGCACATGTGTATGTAAACTGAGAACACTTTCCAGTGCCATTATAAATCAACGGCAATATAACCTCAACAAAGTGATTAAAATTAAAGTGAAATGGCTATCTAAAAATATATTAATCATAGATTTAAAAAAAGCATTATCTAAGACTGTATTAGCATGGAGAATAGAGATGTAGCTCAGTGGTACAGCATAAGGCTGTACCTGAGACCTTGGAATTGACTCTCAGCATAGAAAAAGAGAGGGAAAAACAATAACAACAACAAAGACAGCACAAGGGCAAATAATAATAGCCATGGGCAAGTATGTAAAAAATAATACAAATCCTGTTATTTGTTTAAATATAAGGTGGTAGGCCATGGCGGCAAAAGTCTTTATGCCAGCACTTGGGTGTAAGACAAATGTGGCTCTCCAAGTTTGAGGTTAGTTTGGTCTATATAGAGAGTTCCATGACAATCAGGGCTACATAGTAAGATCCCTTCAGAGAAAAATAAAGAGCAAGTTTTATGCGTATGTTTAATAAATGCTATATAGTGGTTAAAACCCTCGGTTTGATTGCCAGTGACACAAACAAACAGGAAAATACTGGACTGAAAAGTACAATGGGAACTTAAGACTTTTTATTAGGTCTCTCTAATCAGTCCTGCCTGTCCTGGAAGTAGGTAAATAGATCAGACTGGCCTCAATCACAAAGATGTGCCTGCCTCTTGTCTCCTGAGTGCTCAGTTTAAGGTGTACATCACCATGCCCTGATGAAACTTTAAAACTTTTTGAATTATATTGGTTAAATATGTTTCAGCAAGCAAGATTTACCTTTGAAACTAAGAAAATGGAAGGAAAAAGAAAATACTCTGACACTAAAAGAAAGAATGTATTTTGACCTTCGTGATTTTTAAGCAAATTTAACAATACAAAAAAAAAAAACCACAAAGTAATTCTTTAAGTATATTTACTTATTTTTGGACCATCTATGGAAGCAACAAGCATAAACAAAATCAAAGCTCAGAACTTCAGCAATCAGTGAAAAATATATGAATGACAACAAAACATTTATATATGATAATCTACACATATGGAACAAACTTACATAGTGTTTATCTGGGTTGTATTTCTTGTGATATGTGAAAACAGAGGCCTCCTTGATTCGACCATCTTGTCTAAAGGAGTATGTTTTCGGTGAAAATGAAAGGATGGGTTCATCATTAGAAGGAAGACCAGAAAAACGGAGCTGAGCAAGGTTATGAATGAAGAAGTTAAACTTTGTGGCAATGCTTCCCAAACTTGACTCAATCAGCCTATAAAAGAATCAGAAATTTGTTAATAGTAAGCTTACATGGAGACACATGCTAAATTCAAGATAATAAAAGATAAAATTCCTTTTTTTTTTTTTTTAAGTTTTTCGAGACAGGGTTTCGAAACAGCTGTAGCTTAGGAGCCTGTCCTGGAACTAGCTATTGTACACCAGGCTGGCCTTGAACTCACAGAGATCTGCCTGCCTCTGCCTCCTGAGTGCTGGGATTAAAGGCGTGCGCCACCACAGCCCAGCCAGGTCAGTGCTTTAAACCTCCTCTCTACTGAGAGGAAGGAGGCAAGAGAAAAAAGGACATGTCAATGTAAGCTCATTCTTCCCTGCTGAGAAACATGACAGCAGAAGTCAGTGAACATGGTCACTGGGTCTTTAGGGCATGTTTGCCAAAAAGATCTGTTTTTATTGAAAGCAGCAATGATATCCAAATGCTAGCTGTTAACTGGCATGCACTTCAAATACCATGATGAAGAAATAGTTTACAGCCCTAGAGTATCTGCTGTGTTGTGGTATTCATAGAAACTACTATG